TGTGTTAAAAGTTAAAAGATCAAAATGGACTCTGAGTACACGATAAAAGGGCAAAAAAGGTAGTTTTATAGAATAAAAACTATTGATTTTTCTTTAAATTTAAAAGCCTATAGATAAGAGAGCATAAAAGATTTATTTTCCAAAATTCTCTTTCTTTACTTCCATTTTCTTACAATAATTTTCTTTTGGTGTCTTTTCTTTTGTATGTCTGACTTTTGATTTTGAATTAGTTTTCTCAAAGTATTTTTTTTTCTTTCATAACACCAATACTACTTGAAATTTCCTTTTCAAAACATATACTTTTTTATTTTTTTCTCCCCAACTTTTGTTTTTTGCAATATCCTTGCTTTTACGTGCTCATTTATCCATAAGATAAGGTGGTGAACATTATTTTTCTTTTAAATCATCTAAGAGATGTAACATTTAAATAACACATTTTTTTTTCATTTGAGGCTCAAAGGGGATGTCAAAATATCACACCCTCACTAGATAAGCTTTTTTTTCAAGTAGTTTTCATTCAAAATCAAATAATGCCTTGATCATATCCATGACTTCAAACCCATCAAGTAATAGCAAGAATGGTGCAAAATACACATAGTTCACATGTATGCTCACACTCATTATTTATGTAAAACATGAGATTAAACACATCTCACTTTGGTAGACTTAAGATTCTTGACTCACATTGGCATGATTTTACTAGACATTAGTAAAATCAAACTTTATGTAAGCAACTAACTCGTAGTCATGTTATAATTCACATATAGTCAAACATTGATCATGAATTAAGTATTTTAAAAGAATAAACCCTTTATCATGCCATTGTTCTTGACTTTGGTCATCAACCTAGGCTTTGTGATTCATATGAATTTGAATTTTCAGTTTATTTGAACTATATGCAGGACAAACAACTTCAAGCAAATTAACAAAAAAATTAAAACTTGTCCAACACTACTCATGTACGAACTTGAACATGTTGGGTCAAAGAAATAACTAAAAAAAATAACAAATTAAATATCACAGGTTTTGGAGAGCTTTTAGTTGCAACATTCATTCCCTTAAAAAAAAAAATTGGTATGTCCTCAGATTATCATTATATGAAATTGGAGATTTGAATAAAAATTATGCATCTAGGACCTGGAATTTTTACTTAGTGATAATAACATTTTGTTGAGAAAACATGTGTAAACTCAGAAAATGAAATGTCAATGAAGTTTTCGCTTAGTGAATAGATGATCTTGCATAGCAAAAGTCCCTCAGAATCTCAAAACCTGTTCTTTTGACTTGTTCCAGAGAAATATAAATTGCATAAAAGAAAATCTATAACTAAAAAGTTAGGTTGCCTCCCAACAAGCACTTGTTCAATGTCATTAGCTCGATGCTTGGGTTAAGGTTTCTTGATATATCTTTTGTTCTTCTTCATATTCTCTCTCATGGAACTATTAAACAAAATAGATTAATGGATTAATGGAACTAAAACAAAATATGTACAAATATAAATAGACTAAACAAAATACTTAAAATGATACAAACTATCGCAATGTCTTTAAAAACCAACACCAATCCCCAATAACAGTGCCTTTTTGTTGAAGTATAAAAGTAAGTATGTTTTTATTGTCTCCACATGAACTGATTGTGTTTTAAAGACCTTTCAATAATTTATTCGATTTTAGGATTAATTTATCAGATGGTTAATTGCTTATGAATACCTAAAGGTAAAATAACAGAAAATAAAATGATCTTTGGTGTTTAACAGTTGAGAAAACTTGTCAGGGTTAAATTTTATTAACATATTCTCATTGTAGCATCTTTGATCACTAATATGCTCTTCTACTCATCTATTACTACTACTAATTGTTGCTCTCATTCCTATCTCCTGTTGGCCTCAATGTTGTGAGATCAATACATTACGTAATAGTGGATATCTCAATCTATTAACCAACACAAGTCGTTACTCTACAACATCCATAAAGCAGCAATACTTCACACTAATCCCACTAGAGTACATGTGAGCATTGAAACTAGCACTATGTCTATGAATTAGTATCCAATAGAGGATAATCTTGGATCTAGTAATGACAAACATATTTCAAATGTCAAGTTATACCATGAAAATAAGTTTTAGGTAGTAAACCTAAAACATGCATTAAGATTAAAGACTCATCAATATTAAAGCTTTAATATACTTACTTAAAACATTATGGCTGATATCAAAACATGAGTATTAAGACAACTACATTTAACCCCAACAAAATAGAAAATTATTCATGCTTACTCATCATAGCTTTACACTTAAGCCCTAGAAGAAAGATGTTGAGAAACATCTGTTGACGATTTCTCGAAGAACACTTCTGCCAGTAATCTCACTCTCTTTTCCTCCCATGTTATGTTCCTCACTTCCTAATAAGAAACTACTTAATTACATAAAGGTAGGAATAATTTCCACCAAGATATCTTGAAATGAATGGCTTACATCTGTATTTATAGTCTTGAGAAAGGCAGGCTCGCTAGGCACATCACCTAACTTCGCCTAACACGTCTACTTTCTTTTCCACTAAGTTATGCCAACTCAACTGCAATTTGCCTTTACCACCTTTTGTCGCTAAGCACATTGCCCAAGCTCGCTTATTGCGAAACCTTGAAGTAACTTAGCCACAAAGCTTTGAATCACCATACATTTCTTATCGAGGTTGATGTCACGCTTAACAACACCTTACTTATCCTTAAAGTAAATTGGCTCTAAATTAGCTTTGTAGTAACTTAGTCTTTGAATTACTTAGACTTAAAGAAACTTAACCCTGAGGTTACTTAGACTTGAAGTAACTTAGGCTTGAAGTAGTTTTTGAACTTCCTTGACCTTGAAGTAACTTAGGCTTAAAGTAATCTTTAAACCTCTTGAAGCAACTTGGCCTTAAAGTAACTTAGGCTTGAAGTAACCTTTGACCTTGTTTTTATTTAGAGGTCTCTTAAATTGAGGCTTTTTCCCCGAGTTTCTTTTGTGGAGATCCTTTTCCTTCTGTGCCTCGACTGTTTTCCTACACATATTTTTGTAGGTGACTTCTATGGATCAACTTATCAATCTTCTATTTCAAGTGGTGACAATAGTCAGTGTGATGACCCCGTACTATGTGGTACTTCCATCATTTATAAGTGTCCATTCCCATCATGTTGCCTTTAGACAAGTTTGGTTCGTGAAAGATCTTTTTATGGCAGACTTCTTGCAAAATTCGCTAACGCCTTGTATTAAGCACGGTGAAGTACTCATATGGTTTTGGGATAGGTTTAAATGACATTTTTTCTCGTACAAGCCCTTGGTTCTTGTGTTTTCTTTGCTCACTCGCTTAAGATTTTGATACCCCTGTCTTCTTTGCACTTCTCGCTCTTATTTCTGCATTACACTTTTCCCCTTTGATGTACCATTCCTCCTGCACCATGATCTCCTCCATTGATGGCGCCGACTTTTGGGCTAAGGATTCATTGAAATGTCTGCCTTGAGGCCTTTTTGGAAGGCTCTGATGAACATTTCTTGATTAAAATGAGAGACTTTGATGATTTATTAATTAAAGCGAGTCATGTATTCCCGTAGTGATTCGGCCTGTCCCTGGTGTACATTGAAGAGACTTGTGGCTGATACCTTTCTATGATTGTTGGCAGAAAAGTGATGTATCATTTTCTTAGAAAAATTCTGATAAATGATCACAGAGAACCTCAAGAGGCTCATGTACCAACGTAAAACGACGTTCTTTAGCGTGTCAACCATCAGCTCGTCAGCTTGCACTTAAACGAATCTCTTGCGTCGATGATGGGCATTTGAGTGTTAACTATGATGATATGCTCCTAAAGGTCACTATTGCCATAAAAACTTGCCAATGATTGTTGTTTGAAATTATTTAGGACTTGATCATCCCAAATTTTTCCCGTCAGGGGCTAGGGGTCGATCAGATCTTCCAATTCCTCGCATTTAGGTTGAGGTTGATGTTGAATCTATTATAAGACACGAACTTTGTCATACAACAATTCCTTTTGAGCAAAGGTCTTCCACGACAGCGAGTAACTTCGCTACAACAGTCTACGACCCCTAATTACTGCTGCTAGTTGCTCTCGTCATGGAGGGAGAGTGAGATTGACAGTTTGTAAATATTTTTCTGGTCTAGACAAGTTTTACCGGAGCCCTACATTGGATGCCAAATATTCGCATAAAAACACTAAGTGATAACTCTTCTGATGCAGGTCAGAAAGAATCACAATGGGTAGTTACTCTTAAAGAAATTGAGTCTGCATTCCTCCTCCTTTGAACCCTCATTTTATACTTGTTTTTTGGTGATCGGGTCCTAGACAAAGCTCTTAATTACCATTACTCACCACAATGAATATTCATGTCATTAGTCTGATATATAAATGATAAGTACTACATTCAGGGACATGTTTGGATATGTTAATGCCACGTGATGATGATCCTTAAATGCTTGCTTGCTTACAACTTGTCTAGAGCAACCTTCGACTTATCAACTCTCTCTATTTGGACTAATTCATTCTCGATCATGGTTGAGCAATCTACCTTCATAATTTCTCATAATGTACACAATCCTAAACACGAAGCCTAATGGAGCAAAATGCTTGAAGAGAAATTCATCTTAACAATCCGACCATTATACAAAGACTATAACTTTAAATTCGACCATTACAATTTCTCAGATGTACAAAACGTGATTACAATTTTTTTAGATAATTATATGTAATGTTAAACATGGTTTAAATATATTGAAGAAAAGAAAAGAGAGAAACTAGATAACATGATTACTTATGTTATCATGTAGAAAATCAATAAAAGTGAGAAATGAAGATATGAACACATTTCAACCTACAAAAATATTGAGTTAAAAAAAAAAACTACTAAAAAAGAAAAAAAGAGACATCAAAGTTAGTTGAATGAGAAGAGGAGTGTAGATTGAATGAGAAGAGGAGTGTAGATCGCTCCACTCATCACAGAAAAAACGACAATGGCCTCACCAGCGGCGGCGAGGTCGCCGGCACCATCCGTCGCTACTCCACTCTCACGCCTCTCAACCTTCAAAAACCCCGTTTCCACCACCGCTTCCTCCGCACTCGATTCCTTAGCCTCCGATCCCATCTTCTCCGCATTTCTTTCCCCTTCCTTCTCCTCAACCACCTTCTCCGCTGCCGCACTCTCCTCCGGATCCCCTGCCTCAACAGCCGAGAAACTCCACCATGCCATCGGCCTCCTTGAGAATCAGCTCCGTTCCGAAGTCCTCTCCCGTCACGACGAACTCCTCTCTCAGCTCTCATCCCTCCACCACGCTGATCACGCTCTCTCAACACTACGATCCGCTCTTTCTTCCCTTCAATCCTCCCTCCGCCGCCTCCGATCCGAACTCTCCGATCCACACCGTTCCATCGCTTCCAAAACCGTGCAGCTCTCCAACCTCCACCGGACCACGGAACTCCTCCAACACTCCGTCCGTGCACTCCGCCTCTCGAAGAAGCTTCGAGATCTCATGGCTGTTGAGTCTGACAAGCTCGATCTCGCTAAGGCTGCACAATTCTACTCGGAGATCATCAGCCTGTGCAACGAATACGACCTAACTGGAATCGACGTTGTTGATGAAGAGCTTCGTTGGGTGAGGGAAAGTGGAGATCTGTTGAGGAACGAAGCAATGAAGGTTCTAGAAAGAGGAATGGAAGGGCTGAATCAAGCAGAAGTTGGTACTGGCTTGCAGGTTTTCTACAATCTTGGTGAATTGAAGGTTACCGTGGAGCAAGTGATCAACAAGTATAAGGGAATGGGTACGAAGAGTGTGAGTGTGGCATTGGATATGAAGGCAATTACTGGATCGAGTGCAAGCGGGTTTGGACCCGGTGGAATTAGGGGTACTGGAACCCCTCAGATTGGAGGAGGAGCTAAGGCTAAAGAAGCTCTGTGGCAGAGATTGGGGAATTGTATGGATCAATTGCATTCCCTTACTGTGGCAGTGTGGCATTTGCAGAGGGTGCTTTCAAAAAAGCGCGATCCTTTTACCCATGTTTTGTTGCTTGATGAAGTCATTCAGGTTAGGAGAGGATCATTCTCATCAGATTTTGTGATCATACTTCATTTTACATGAAAATGGAACTATTATGTCTTGCTTTACTTGGATTCATGTATTCATATATGCTTATGTGCATCATACAAAGGAATCCTACATCAACTGTGGTTTTATTAGACAATGGCTTCTTATATGCATATTAATGATTTTAGATGCTTTCTGGTTTAACTTCTTGATAAGCATCTATGAACCTATGAAGACTTTTTTTCAAGTGAAGAACTGTAAGCTTGTTTTAATTGAGAAATTCTCAAATGGGAAAGGAAATACTAGTACTTCTCTCCTGCAATGGATTTACTGATATAATTGTGTAACACATACATGTGGATTATATAAAGCTTCCAACTTTCATCCTGTTAAAGAAACCAAATTTTGGGGGTTGAATTTAAGTTCGGAGCTTGTAGAAATTGTCAATGCAACCATGTTACTTTGTTTTTAGTTTTTGAAACCTGATATAGTGTGAAGTATAGTGTATGGGAGTTATTTTTTGTGTGTCCTCCTTCTAAATGGAAGCAATAGGGAATTACACTAATAGCTTGAATTGTGTCAAGGAATTAATATCAGTGTATAAGTTCATTTTATAATGATTCTTCTGAAGAAATGGACATGACAACATGTCAAGATTTATAAACCGCAGGCATGTGACATAGTTCTGTAAATGCCAGTGATCCCACAAGTATGACATTTTCTTTTTAAAAATGAGAATTCAGTAAGTTCGCTGTGCTATATGAATCATTTGCCAGCCTTGTAAATCCTTCCTTTATGTGATCTTTTCTCACACCCTGTTACAATGTTGTTAAATAGCAGCTATATTGGTGCTATACCGCTATAGCGTAGCGGAATTCGGATAAACCACTATTGTCCTACGTACGATATGCTATTTGGTACAAAATGTTTTTAAATTGCTGTTATAATGGCGCTATAGCACTATTACGTAGCGGAATTTTAACAATCTGCTATTTTCCGTCATCCGGGATTGACAACTTATTATTCTTTAAAGTTTGAGGCAAGCAGATGTGGCGGAATCACTTACCTTACTGTACTAATGTAAGGGAAGGGAGAGTATGCCATAAGGAGATAAATTAATTGTTGTTTCTCATTTTTGTATAGTTATTCAGATAGGCTTTCAGACAGTCAAAGACCTTTATATCTTAGCTTCTGCTGCAAATAGGATGCAGGGTGGGGAAATCTTAAAATTTTATGCTTGCTCATTTGCTTCTGATTCTAATGCACTAAACATCATTTGATAGATAGCATTGAATTGGACATGATCAAAACATAATCTCCTGAAGTTGTATTCTTTCATTTGTATTCATAATAGAGTAAAGTGATTAATATGCTAGATGTGCAGTGATGTTGCATTGAATTTTTTTAATAATGTCTTTTATCTAGGTTTTTAAAAATATTATCATCTTGTGCCAAGGGAGAAAAACATCTCCGATGGACTTCATAGGGTGTCTGAGATGTTAAGAGAAAATGAGAGACATATATTGCAAATATATATAGACCATAAATAATAATCATATACTAGCTTACAGTGATTCTAATTATTGTTATTACATGATGTTTTCAACCTATGCAATGTGTCTGGTTACTATTTATATATACTTCCCATCTGGATCTTCAGGATATGTTATACTTTGACAGTAATGAGTTCTTATCAAGGACCAATTGATTGCACTCTCTTTCTGAGTAGCTGCTATCATTTACAGTTTTTTTTTTTTTTTTTTTAAATTTTCCAGTTGTATTTTCTCTCATTATTCTAACATTGATTGCTGCTGAGTAGGAAGGTGATCCTATGTTAACGGATCGAGTCTGGGAGGCCATTGCAAAAGCTTTTGCAAGCCAAATGAAATCTGCTTTCACTGCTTCAAGTTTTGTTAAAGAGATTTTTACGATGGGATATCCAAAGCTATACTCGATGATAGAAAATCTCCTCGAAAGAATTTCACGCGACACAGATGTCAAAGGAGTGTTACCAGCCATTAATTCAGCTGGAAAAGAGCAGATAGTTTCAGCTGTCGAAATATTCCAGTCTGCATTTTTGGGTCACTGCTTAAGTCGACTTTCAGATCTAGTGAATAGTGTATTTCCAATGTCCAGTCGTGGAAGTGTTCCCTCCAGGGAACAAATATCAAGAATAACAACGCGCATTCAGGAAGAGATAGAAGCTGTTCAGATGGATGCACGCCTAACTCTTCTTGTTTTGCGTGAAATTGGCAAGATTTTGCTTCTTTTTGCTGAGCGAGCTGAATACCAGGTAAACAGTAAAGATTTCATTGTATTTAAGGTGCTATTTGCTATTTATAAATGCTTTATAAACTACATTTATTAGTCAGGAAGTATTAAACAGCAAGCCAGTTTGTGTTTTTTCAGGAAAGCTATCCAATTAACTGTCAATCTTTTATTTTTTTTGTTTATAAATGAAGATTCTATGACAATGAAAGAGTGGATACACGGGAGGAAAATAATGTTAACTACAGTTATGCATATATCAGTAAATAATGGTTCTATATTCTTTAGTTGCAGAGTTCATTTGTGCATGTGTTGCCAATCTTGTGACAGTACTAATTTAATGATCAACGAACGGCCATTGAAATATGAAACTTGTTTTTCTTTGTTGTATATTAAATAATTAATGTTTAAGCTAGGCTTATCAAGCATCAATTATCAACCATCTATGTATATTACTAACATGTGACTTATCATATGATGATAGAACTAGAATGAACTGGTATATTATTGCTGAAAATGGGGAGGAATCTCCTTTGATTACAATGGTAGCACTTCGAGGGTCTGCTAACCTCCCAATGCCAAAAGGCCCTATTCCTCTCAAAGCATAAGATGATCCCTTCTCTAATCCTCTTCTCTATTTATTGGCAACATGCCTTATATGGCCTAATTAACCCTCAACAAACTACTAAGTATCCCGTTAACTAATCAACTACTTAACTAAAAATAACACACCTATCATGTGGTGAGGCATAGTCTTTGATGATAGGCACTTACCATGGACGTGCAATGCTTAAATTGTAAAGAACTTGAATTTAGTCAATCTCTGAGTATACAATTTTAAATTAGCTATTTGATGTGATAATTGAACTTAGTCAATAAGGAAATGTAGTGAGTTTGCCGACCTTATTTCCCTTGCGGGTAAATTTTTATATCCAAAGATATGTTGAGAGGTAATGGCTAACCTAATGCGTATTCCACATTTAAGCTTAATGGGATTGTGAATTTGTGGCATGTAACTTCTTTAGCTAGTTAGTGAGTTAGAGAATTAATTTGAGTGTTAGATGATCTGCTATAAAAAGAGGATAGGAAGATTAGCAATGGTTATCTTTGGTTTTAGAAAGGAATTTAGAGCGGGAGAGAACTGGGACTCTAGAATACCTGGAATAGAATGTGATAAAGTTTCTATCAACAAACATTATTTTCTTCTGCATTATGAGCCAATTCCTATTATATTGGTTTTAAGAGATGCACCTTCATGCCTCTAGAATGTGCAAGGTCGCAACCACTTTTATTATTGTGTGGGAAAGTACCGATCTTTCCTGTTCAGTTTATGTTTGTGGGTTTTGTAATATTGAAAGTGCTGTCGCTGTATGTTTTCTCTGGTAAAGGCAATATTTTTATTCTGTGGATGAGGTTTCAAATCCGCATTCTTTAGAAACTTTTAGTCCAAATACATGAGAAAGGAAGACTATTGTAGATGTACAGTGTCTAATCTTTTAATTATTCATTTTCATTGTTATGGCAGATATCCACTGGTCCAGAATCACGTCAAGTAAATGGCCCTGCCACACCTGCACAGCTCAAGAACTTTACATTGTGTCAACATCTGCAAGATGTTCATTCACGGATATCAACCATGCTTAAAGGAATGCCCAGTATTGCTGCAGATGTGCTGTCTGCTTCACTGGGTGCAGTATATGGCGTTGCATGTGACTCAGTGACGCCTTTATTCCAGTCAATGCTCGATCGTCTTGAGTCTTGTATATTGCAAATACATGATCATAATTTTGGAATGCTTGGAATGGATGCTGCTATGGACAATAATGCATCACCCTACATGGAGGAGCTCCAGAAATGTATTCTTCACTTCCGCAGTGAGTTTCTATCTAAGTTGTTGCCTTCCAGAAAAACTGCAACACCGGGAATTGAAAACATATGCACCAGGCTTGTCCAGAGTATGGCTTCCCGCGTTCTGGTATTCTTCATTCGGCATGCCTCTCTTGTCAGACCACTTTCAGAATCAGGGAAATTGAGAATGGCTAGGGATATGGCTGAATTAGAGTTAGCTGTGGGTCAAAATTTGTTCCCTGTTGAGCAACTTGGTTCCCCATATAGAGCACTTAGAGCATTTCGTCCACTTGTATTCTTGGAAACTTCCCAGCTTGCATCATCTCCCCTTCTTCAAGATCTGCCACCAAATGTTATACTTCATCATCTGTATACCCGAGGTCCTGAAGAATTGCAGTCACCTCTACAAAGAAACAAGCTGACTCCATTGCAGTATTCATTGTGGCTTGATTCACAAGGGGAGGATCAAATATGGAAGGGCATCAAAGCAACACTTGATGATTATGCTACAAATGTGAGGAGTAGAAGAGATAAGGAGTTTAGCCCTGTTTATCCTCTTATGATTCAATTGGGTTCATCGTTGACTGAAAAGACTAAGGCTTCCTCAAACTCTTGATCCAGTAAATATTGTGGTCTAGCAATAAATCACATATGTAACTTCCCAGATTGTTTTTTGAAATTTGTTAGAAAGGATTTAGCTGCGGAAACATGAGGAAGAGGCCTGCTAGTTCTGCTGGTATGCACGAGGTACAAACTATTATATGATTTAATTGGTTTTTACTTTTATTTTTTCTTATATTTTTTTATATAATGGAACTACCATTGTTGGTTCGAGTTCCTAATTAGTTGTTATATTCAAATGTAGAGAAATATATAACTTTTTGATGAAGATAGAAACAAGTGCTGTCGTAAACTCCTCATTATTAATGAGTATTTAATCCATTATTAAAATGCTACAAATGTTTGCATCAATATTGAAAATCAAGGCATTTGTACAACAAAGGTGAAATGGATCATAATGAAAATTGTTCTTTGAAATTGACGTATGCATGACGAGCAATCATTCCCACCGTATGTTTTTTTTTACTGTTTTTTAGAATATTAAAGTGATACATTGTCTGTTGTTGCTTTTTGGTGTAAAACAACTTACACCGACAACCATTCAAAATCTATAGACTTGCCAACATTAATGTTTCGAATATGTAGCCATGTTCTTTTGTTGTATCATGCTCTAAGAAGTCCCTCCTGACTCATGACCCGACCCCAAAATCCTTGGTTTGCCTATAACTTCCACTTCTGTAACTTCTACTGGCACCATTTGGATTCACAAGTGAGACGGTCATCACCCTTCCCCTGGCTTTCCCCTTATGTGTTCCTGTCCTATCCCACCTGTCTCAGAAAGAACATCACAGGGTAACGTCAAGGTAGAACCAGAACCCACCGTATACTTAATTGCCGCTATGATTATCACACAATTATGTTTTTAAATTTTGGGAACCCGGCAGGTTTATCTCTGATGGTCACAAGGGATATCTCTTCTTTTCTCTCACTGAGTCTGTCCACAAATTCTAAAAAAAAAAAAAATCTGTTTTTGCTCTAGTACATATACATTTTGAAATTTCATAATCTTCTATTTATTTGTCTTTTGTTGCACATACTATGGTTCTGTTTTCTTGAACAGATTAATATGACTGTTCGCACAATGATACAACCAATATTTGCATTAAAAAGCTGTTAAATATTATATGACCTCGATAATAACTCAACCACACCTTTTAGCAATTCCCCCGTTCATTTTCTTGATGTTGTGGAATATTATTACTCTAATTAACCAATGTTATCTAGCTTGTTTTGTTTGGCTTGGCTATACATGTTCTTGGCCTTTGTTTTGCTAATATCTTAGTTGGTTTCTTTTTATTTTTTATTTTTTATATAATAACTTAGTTGGTTTCTACCTAAGTGTTATTTTCTCCATCTTTTGTTGATCTTTATAGCATTAATGTTATAGAATTTAAAGCTTTTATTTGTTATTGTGCTCTCTACAAGTTTGCCTTTTCTCTTTTAGGTACAGATCATGCATGCTATCTATCGGGGTTCTGTTCTGACAATGAGAGGTGATCTTGAAAAAACCTTTTTATCATAATTGGCAACAAGTATGGGGTTGTGTGGGAAACCTTAGAACAGTGCCATAGAAAGATACTGAGCTGTTCAGATGTAGAAAACATCTATTCTTATGGAGACATCAGCTCTTGAGATTTAAAGTATATAGATTTTGCTTTTGGCTTTGTGATTTCTATGTTTCATGTACTATTAAGATTGAATTTATCTATACTTCAAAAAAAGAGTAAATTTATTCATATAATTAACTGATAATTTTAGTTGACCCTTTCAAATAAGTTAACTCAATTTAACATATCTTCTATTCAAATGAAGAGTTCATCACTTGACACTTCATAATTCTAATGGGGTTTCTATTCCTAGAGTTTTAACTGCTTAAACTTAAGTATAACATTGAAAGCAAAAACAAAAGCAAATGCAATTGCATTGTTAAGATTTGAAACTAATCATTTTGCAAAATGTGTAATAAATCCTTTGTTAACTTGAGGCTTTTCCGGTGTTATAGCAAATCACCCTTATTTTCCCTGTCAACCATTTTCTCTCATGTTCACCACTTCTCTTGTTAGCATACAGTTAGGGAACAAAGTTTCCCACCCCAAAAACAGCATGCTTCATGCCAGATAAATGCAGTTTCCACTTCTTCAAACCTACACTCGAATTCTTGTTTGAATCATTCCTAACTTGAGTTTCATTACTTGAAACAAAGTTTTCCTTTTCTCCATTATTTCCATGACTCATGGTTGGTGAAACAAAAGGTAGATTAAGCATAGGAGAAGCCCTTTTCAACACCACAAAACAACCATCCTTGACGCTTGATAGCGAAGGCATCCAACTCTTTATCGATACATTTGATATCTTGTTGTCATCTGCATTTTTCACGCGAGTTTCACTACCAGATAATTGCGGCATCCAACCCATCAAACCTTTACCACTTTTATGAGGCATGTGTTTAAGTATATTCCAAACATAATCGGTCACTTCTCTAATATTTATTCGGCTTGTGGCTAATGAAATATATTGTGGATAATAGAAAAGCATTATCTGAGAAAGTGTAATGGTGTTCAAAGACTTAAGCTGCGTACTTACGAGTTTGTTATTGCGGATATCGTGCTTAAGCTCTAAGTTACTGTCACTTGACCACCATTGTCTCATGCCATGAGCCTCGAGAAATTTCTGGTCTTCATTTGAAACAACAAACAACTTGGCTCCATTTTGCTCATTTGCAGGATCCGTATTCTCCACATCAACGATCTCCTCTCTTGTTCTATCGGTATGGATATAAAAGTGACTGATCCAGTCATTGTTGTTAACATAAAGATGAGGAACCCATTTTCCTTTCCCGAAACCAACATCTATCAAGCGCAATAACCAAGGTATCATTCTCTTTGATTGTATAGTGTAAGTCTCGTCCACATCGTTGCTGACCCGAGGTTCACTACTCAAGGGAAGATGAAGCATAGGTTTGATTCGATTCCAAACACATTCAGCTTTTTCTCCAATTTTTCCAAAACTCATAGCAAGTGAAACAGAAGGCGGATTAAACAAATGAGTTTCCACATTAATCCTTTCCTTCGCCAATTCCTTTCCGACTTGAAGACCAAATCCAGCCCCTAAAGAATGCCCTGCAATGCAAACATGTCTGCTTCCATGCATTTCAGAAACTGATTTTATCGCATCCATAGTTACTTTAAACCTCGCAGAGTCCTTCAAGCTTTCCAAAGCAACGAAGCGGAAATCATCTTCAAAATCTCTTCGCATTGTAGGGACTCTGATCAATGTTCCTCTAAGTGCTAATACAGCTCTAGGGGCACCAACTGGTTTAAATGGTTTGAGTTCAGACAATGACGCTGATCGATCCCATTCGAATGTTGCACCGAAAATGGATCCATCTCTTTGATCAATCAATAGTTGTGTAGGCTTATACTTGAAGGGAATCCAAAAATCTTGAGCTAAAGAATTCTCTCGTGCTCTATTCTCTTGTCTGTCAAGTTCAAGCGAGTACACTGCTTGAATAAGGCTTGCAATGGCTCTTCGTTTATAACTCGGGTCATTCCTGTGTACAATAAAATGCTTATCAATAATGTTGTTGATTTGATAAAGTTTTCAACTTTATACACATTTGTTACAACCCATTATGCCAACATGCTAAAAAACTTCAACCAAAAATCATATGAATGTAATGCAACCATTTAGTGTTGGTTGGTATGTCTCTAGCACATGATTAACAGTAACAAATGATTCACTTCGAAGATCATGCATCATTAAATCCAAAGGTGATTACTACTTACTTACCATTTAGGATTGATGAAGTCTGTCCAATCAAGGGTTGTGATCAAGCTGTGAAGATTAGACCCTTTCTCCACAACCTGGTTTGCCATGAATCAATGTGGCAAAAGGTTTTCCAATTTCCTATGTTATGACTATGTTAATAAATTGATTGAACAAACTTTGATTTCTTAGTGGAAAATCAACAGATAGTAATAATGTTTTTTTATTTGGTTTTCTCAACATCAGATAGAAATAACAAAATTTAGATAAACAAAATTAAAATGCAATCTAGGAATGTCAACTTAATAGGGACCGTCCAAAATCCTTCTTGGGAGTGTTGATATCCATTACTATATTTTTTTTAAAAATGTTTTGAAAAATATAAAAAAAATATTTAGAAAAGTGAGTTGGAGACTTTATAAGATGAGAATGCTGGATGATGTTTTGGTTTGGCGGCCTCTTTCTCGATTTGACGGTATATTGGGGACGGTACTTACAAAACACTGACGTCTAAGTAAGTTAATGGTCGAGGCATAAAGTGAAATGTTTTTAGGTTTTCAAGAATGTATATCTTATTTATGACGCTTGTGATTCATTTTTATAGAAATTTTATTAAAGTTTATTTTGGTTCTCGTCCTTTGAGTTTAATTAAGACTGTTCATGTTAATCGATGTCGAGATTTATGCATCATCTAGCGTTATCAACTTATCAAGTCTCTATCTCTGATACATAAGCCAGTGAATGGTCGAGTCAGGGTGTGAAATGTTTTTAGATTTTCAAGAGTGAATACCTTGTTTATGACGTATGTCATTCCTTTTATAGAGATCTTATTAGAGTTTCTTATGGTTCTTGTCCTTTAGGTTTAATCAAGACCGTTCATATTGTCAGATGTCAAAATTTAATTCATTATGCTTGGATCAATTGCTTTTTAGGACAAGTCCACTCTCGCTCTTCAAATTTTAGAACCTTGCGCTTAATGGCAATTTCATGACGCCATTGGTCTAATGTCATCCTTATCATCTTTGCCCTCTGGGCTTATATGGTCTTTCTCTTATGGGGTTGAGACTAGTTTAGACTAGTCGTGACTTGGGTCCATAGACTACAATGATATTGAGCTAATTTCAATTCTGTCTCAGTCCACGTAGGAATAATTGCCCCTAATTCTGGCATGAGACTCGAGTTTAAGGTTGTAAATGTTTTTGTGGTTAGGATTTTTAGATATGATTATAATGGAGTTTCCTCCATCTTTTCCCTTTAGTTTTTGGACATTCTTAGATCTTGTTGTCAATAAGTAATTCCTTGATTTATGTTCTAGTAAATCATCCATCTTATTAAACACTAATGTTTCTCTAGTGACCATTGGTCTGAAATCTAGTAAAATAGTAAAGAATGATCGAATAGGATAATAATGTTCTAACCTGGAAAGTGCACCCTCTCTAATAATTATAGAGGCGATCTCACCATGTCCCCTTATATTACAAGATATGAGTCATCAAACACACTCCTCAACCTAAAAAGTGCCCACTCATAATAATTATGTATTCTCAAGTTTTATGGAGTTAGATAACCATAAATCTCTAATGGTATAGAGTCACATTGCACATAACCCATATTATAAGAGGAGAACTCGAGGTTTTTTTTGGAAGGAGTAAAGCTATATATAGTGATATAAAAGGTCATGTCATATCATCACTTTTTCACATATCAGAGTCCTAATGCGCTATTGCTTAGCTTATTGTAAGTACAAAAAGATAAAATTGAAATGATATAAAGAAGATTAACATCACCCCTTCACATGTATTACACACCCAAATTGAAAAATGGTCTAAAATTTTACAACAAGTTGAGATGGCCGAGTTGGTCTAAGGCGCCAGATTATTTTTACAATTTGTGATCAAAATTTTTAGTTCTTATTTGTACTTGATATATTTCTACAAGAGACGACAATGGGTATGATTTGCGTAGGATATTGTAGTACTCTTCCCGATATCCGTAGTTTAAAAAATGTTAGACGATGACAATGATCTAGAAGAGGGGTGAATAGATCATTAATTTATTACAAGAGTCGGCGCTTAGAAATATAGTTTTAAAAATTTATGCGGAAGCGGCCGAGGAAGCAAATCGTCTAAATGAACCGTTACCGAAAAGATCGGATATGCGATAAGTCAAATGAAACAACAATTCTAATGAGACACCTAATTAATAGCTTAATGATTAATCAATACGAATAACAACACTTTAGAGTGTCCAATTTTCAATGACTTGTAAAATATAAAGTTAATTTGACAATAAAGTAAATAGTTTGTGTACGATCAATTCGTCGACCACTTGGTGTGCAAAACACCACAAGTGTTGTTTCCTATGTAATGTGAGTGAAAAATTTTTGCAATTACAATTCAGCTGATTGCAATGAGTTTTCAAATCAGATTTTCAGCACTACACTACAACAGAATTTTATTGATCAATTGATATTACACAAACGTTAACAATTCAATGTAAAGAGATAGAGAAAAATAGAACAACACCAAAATTTTTTAGGCAGTTCCCCTTTCGTCCTTGCTTAGGGTACGTTTGTCCCCAATTCTAAAATTAGAATTGAGATATGTATTATCTTGTTGCAAAAGTTTATACAAGAGAATCAATAGACACCACACACTCAAACCTAATTGTTGATGTTGATACTATGTCTTCTCTCCCCTTAATTCAAGATGAATCAAGTGCCTCAAACTTGTTGAACAAACCTCTGGTTACCGCTACTTGTCTAAACAACCTCACCGGTCTTCAAACCTTTCACTCGGCTGATTTCTATCACACACCATTCGAACCCAAATCTTCCTTGCATAATCCTATGGTTAACGCTACTTGATTGAATAAACCCTCTGTTTTCAACCCCCTTCGCTCGACTGAATCCGTGAAGACAAGATTTATGCAAAAACCCCCAAATGCTCAAGATCTTGGAGGACAAAAACCTACGGCTTTGTTCAAGAAAAATCCACCAAAATCTCAACCCAAAACGAGATAAACAATCATACGTTTGGACGTTATCACCTTAATGATGCAAAAGATCAACAAAAATTGTTATATGTAATTGTTGAGAAAATGCAAGAATGAGGATGCAGATGATGAGAACAATTTGGTGTATATCTTTCACTTTTCTTCTGTATATCAAAAATGATGAGACAAAATGAATATATATGATGCTATAACCAATAAACTAACATAACAACAATTTGACACAAGACAGATAAAAAAATAGCATATTTTTAGCGAGTGGCCGACCTAAGCTTGCAGGGGGGTCGGCCTGAGCACCCCCGAGAGCAAGACTATGTAAAAATTGAAGTTGTGCGTGGACCAGAACAAGGTCCATGCGTCGACACAAACTTGCCCAAAATTGACAAACACAAACACAAACAGTATGAGTTGACCAGTAGGTCGGCGCGAACACTCCTGAAAGAAACATATTGAAATTCAACTTATATGAGTCGACCTAAGTAGGGCTTTGAGTCAACTCAAACACTCAAAACTTTCAAAATGGCTTTTTTGCTCATAGTTTGGTCTACCTAAGATATATTTATGCATACCTATGACGCCTAACATGATCAAGAACACACAAAACATATATGAGATGCTCCTATACGTATAGACATATGATTTTGAAATATTTTGTGCATTAGTAAAGTATGGATGCAAGCTAAGACTCGAGCTAGACACGTTTTGACATCAGTAAAATAAGGGCCGAGACACATTGCCCTCATAAAAAAATCACGTCGTCGAGCCCATACACGTGTGAGTACCAACGTTTGTACTTGTACATGTATCCTATGAGTACCTAAGTAGTCATACCTATATCCGTTTACTCGTATTTCTGATAAAAAATAATTGATCAATTATAATTTATCATGTCATTTAAATTTTTTTAACAACATTAAAAATATTTAAGGATAATTTTGTTGAGTTAAAAAAAGAAGCAAACATGTATATTAAAATGCATATAAGTTTAATAGTTATGTGTTTAATAAAATTGATAAGTTAATAGATATATGTATAGCTAAGGTGGGTACATGCGCCATATCCGTTTATTTTAGGGGGTAATTGCTCGCACCCAAGTCTATATCTAATTTTTGGATTTTTACCTTATTCATTGTGGATAATTTTTACGGGTACCCACTTGGGATGTGTCCAATTGCCATCCCTAATTCCTATTTATATAATTTGTTCTAGTTTGAGTCAAAGTTAAATCAATTTCGTTCCATGATCTTCATTAGGGAATTTGGGAATGAGGTTGTGGGGTCCATCTAATGGACTATATAATATCTCTTGAAAGATCTACATCCTAGAATGGCAGTAGATCAAAGGTCCATGAAATGATCTGCCCTAATTCCGAGCACAACCAAAATTGATAATGGTTTTAAGGATCGTCATATCAAACACTTGATCTTCACTAGTGTCACCGTTGACGGTAGACCGTTGACATGAGATCCCTAAAGAAGTATCAACAAAGAATATTCTAATAATACATAAATTTAAGATGAGTTATAGTAGGACACTTGGTCACAGTAGACAAAACACGGAGGAGTGTCTTATCATACTTTCATGGATCTTCTAACACTTGTTTTTTTAGAGGGTAGCCAACAAAAGATTATAGGCTTCAGAAAACCCTAGAAACCTATTTAAAAAGGTGGACTAAACATCATTCTCATATATACAGTATTACGTCAGAATCGGCCCCGACTTCGACGCTATTAGCGTCAACTATACGTCAGAAAAGGAAAACGTTATCTATTTTATCAATTAAATTATAATTTATTAAAATGACTTTAATTTTAGCGTCTGTCAGCTGGACATTACGCTTAGCTTCGAGTCTTGAGGCATCCTCCACGACTCCAACGCCAGGCCGACACTAACATTGATTAGCGTTCGTTTTTTGCCTTATTGCATCCACTTTAGAACAACGCTAAAACACAATTTTCTTGTAGTGTGCGTTTGCTTATACTATTATTGCATATAGAACTAAGTTTGATACACATGCTCACAAAACTGTTTTTCTTGATTTCCGTATTGGTGCTAAAGGTTACCTTTTGTATGATTTATACTCTCATAATTTTTTAGTCTATAGAAATGCTATTTTTTATGAATCAGAATTTCCTTTTAACATTCCTTCTCCTTCAGCCACACCTGTTCCCCAACTACCCCTGATCTTGACCCTATCCTCCCCTTACCAACATCCTCTGCCAAATACCCCTGCTTCCACTCCCCCTCCCCTCCCTCCTACAAACCCTATTCGCCATTCTACCCGTATCACACGACCTCCTAGCTATCTTAATGATTACCACTGCACTCTTCTTCTAAATCAACCCACAACCAACAATATCTCTCATGACATTCCCTACCCAATATCCTCTGTCCTAGATTACAACAATTGCTCCCTCATCTACAAAATTGTTTGTCTTTCCATATCCTCCACAACTGAACCAACAACTTATAAACATGCCAGTAAATGCGATAATTGGAATCATGCCATGAAGCTTGAGTTAGATCCTTAACCTCAACCAATACTTAGACCATTGTGGATCTTCCTCCCAATAAAAATCCTATTGATTGTAAATGGGTGTACAAGATCAAATATAATGGTGATGGATCTATCGAACATTACAAAGCTCGCCTCGTAGCCTAGACTATTTTGACACTTTCTAGTTGTCAAACTCACTATGATACGTTCTCTTCTTGCTTTAGCTGCTGTTAATGGATGGTTTTTAGAACAATTAGACGTGAATAACACTTTTTTACACGGTGACTTACATGAGGAGGTATACATGACCCTCCTTAAAGTTCTCACATTATCTTCCCATGTTTGTACCGCAGTATTTAAAAGCTGCTCCTGCAACAGGTTTGTTTTATTCTGCAGCTTCTAACTTACTCTTATCTGGTTTTGCAAATTCAGACAGAGCAACTTGCCCTGTTTCTCACAAATCCGTCACAAGTTATGTTGTTTTCTTAGGCACATCCCTTATCTTTTGGAAATCAAAGAAGCAGCAGACAGTCTCCCGTAGCAGTTCTGAAGCGAAATATCGAGCTTTGGCCAGCCTTGCCTGCGAAATTCAATGGCTTCATAACTTATTTCATGACTTGAATCACTCATTCAACCAATCAACTTCAATTTACTGCGATAACAACTCTGCTATCTACCTTGTGCACAACCAGTCATTCCATGAACGTTCTTCTAAACACATAGGATCTGACTGTCACATTACTCGCGAGAAAATCGAAGCCGGTCTGATCAAACTCTTTCCCATCCATACCAGACTTCATATTGCAGACTTTCTCACCAAGCAGCTCTACCATCCCGCTTTCGACAAACATATTTTCAAACTTGACCTCATTAACCTCCATAGTCCAGCTTGTGGAGATGTATTAAATACCCATATATTATAATTAATTATTTCCTTTCCTTTTATAGTTTTAGGCTCAGTTTGTTTTTGTGTTTCCGTTTTTCTAAGCTGTCAGTTACTACTACTTTCTATATATTATCCAACTGTATCAATTGCCTTTAACATAATATGAAAATATCATTTTCTCTCTTGTGATGTGTGCAACATTAATTATCTAGGCCATTTTATCACTAAAAAGTGAGTTACTACAAACCCAACAAAAGTTGAAGCTGTATTAGGTTGTCCATTTTCAAATAATTTAGCATACGCGCCACAAGAAACTCGCTGTTATTTTTATATTGGAAGCAAAACTCAATCATGTTTGAGGAGTGAGGACCCTGTGAACCCAACAAATCACAGTGGTATCATGGTATGGTATGTATTGCTCTTACCTCTTAACAGGTTTAAAGATGTTTTAATTCTGAAACTCAAGTTTAGTAAAAGAAAACAACAATTTTGCATTTGTATTACAGATATTAACTCTAACACAATGCAACATCTGAAAGAACAGACCACAAGCCAAAAACAGGCTGCATTATTAAGATTGAAAAATGAGTGATTCTAAATATTCATTTGTTATTGTGGCACAACCCTTGTTACTGCTTGGGAAGGAGTATAAGTATATAAAGATGAAAGTTGTCTACTTATGAGTTTGCTATTATGAATAACCTGTTGAAGTTCTGCATCACTTGACCACCATTGTTCCAAACCATGAGCCTCAAGAAATTTCTGTTTTTCCTTCGACACAACAAACAATTTCGCTGTAATTTGTCCACCAACATTCTCCTTATCAACAACCTTCTCTGCTGTGCCACTAGGGTCATTGTAATAGCAACATATGTAGTCACTGTTGTTAACATATAAATGAGGAATCCATTTTGCCATGCCAACAACAACGTTAGGATCCTTCAAACCAGAACCATATAACCGAGACATCCAACCCTTTGATTCGACAACTGTGGTCTTTTCCACATCATTGCTAACTTGAGCTTCCTTTCCATAAGGAATTATAGATTTAACTCTACTCCACGCATATCCGGCCTTTTCTCCGAGATTTTTGAGACTCATGGCTAATGAAACTGAAGGCGGATTAAACAAATGCGCCTCCACATAGATTCCTTGTTTTGCTAATTGTTTTCCTACTTGAAGAGCAAAACCAGCACCTAAAGAATGTCCGGCAATACACACATTATTACTTCCGTATGCATCACAAATTGATTTTAGAGCCTCCAATGCCACTTTAAATCTGACAGACCCTCTTAAGCTTTCCCAAGCAACGAAACGGAGGTCGTCTTCAATGTCTCTCCGCATTGTAGGACTTTTGAGTAATGTTCCTCTGAGTACTAAAACAGCTCTAGGGGCACCATTTGGTCTAACTAGCACTAAGTCAGTTAATGCTGCAGACCGATCCCATTCAAGTATTGCACCGAAAATGGATCCATCTCTTTCGTCAACTAATGTTTTTGTGAGCTTGTACTTGAACGGAATCCACCAATTTGGAGCTAAGGCATTCTCTTGAGTTCTTTTTTCCTGTCTATCAAGTTCGAGCAAGTAAACTGCTTGTATGAAGCAGGAAATGACAGTTCTTTTGTACTTTGCATCCTTCCTGCAATAACAAAATAACCATCAACATATTAAGAAAGATCTCGAAATTAACAACTTAGATATAAACATGGTCCTTGATAAAATATTATGGCGAAAGTTGATCCATGTAACCGATCCCACTCAGTGAGATAAGACTTTGCTGTTGTTGTTGTATATATGAACATATGCAATAAAAGAATGCGAATGTTACTAAAATTGTTTTTCCATCACATTTGACAAGCGAGAATGGTGAAGGGGTTTTGGAAAATTGATGTCAATTTCCTGAAGTCACAAATTCATGCATTTGCTAGAGTCACTAACGGCCACTAAATTGGAAATATTGATCGACGATTAGATGACTCGTATTCGGATGACAGTAAATAAGATTCAAAACAAGAACTCAACTTGCGAGTGCCCAATGGTTGTTCCAATTTACAGACAACATAGAATTCATGATTATTTTCAGAAGGAAATCATAAAGGCAGTCCCTAATTGACAACACAATTCAATCAATTAGATCTCTGAAATCTAAATAACTCATCCTCAATTAATTACAACCAATGTAATGCAATTGATAAATTTTGTTATCTTTTTAGCAATTCGAGAAAGTTAGAAACCTTAAACTCAAAAACATTGCATACCCATTTGGTAAAAGTTCATAACTTTACTCTGATATGATCCAACCCATTATGCCAACATCTTCAATATTGATTAACAAATAAACAGAAACTTAACATAAATCACACACAAACCACCAATATTGCTCTGTTTCAAACCACCCATTAACTAGTAGTATGGTAAAAACCTACAAAGATTAATTTTTTGACAAAATAGAATTCTCTGAAGCAATTAAACAAACATTTTAAGTTGATAAACTGAAAAGGGTAGACAGAGTTACCAACTGGAAGTGATAAGGTCTCTCCAATTAAGGGTGGTGAAGTTCCTAGGACCAGACACATGAAAAGCATCTGGATGAGGTGCAGGAGGATTAGGAACCACACGATTTGCCATGAACATGGGAAAGAACAAAAGACAGGACTTGTTGTTTGTTGGTTGGGTTTCTTAGTTGTGTTGTTTTACTTGAGATGAAGAAAGTGATAACGATACATTTATGGGAAGGTGGTGATGAGTTTCCATTGTGAAAGCAAGTTGGAAATGAGATGGGTTTAGGTTAGTATCCTATTCGGTATGGCCATTTTCTTAATGTGTGGATCTAAATATTTTCAAAGTAACTTTTCTGTTTTCTTTTTTGAATGCTTAACTAACGGTCAAGCTTCATAAATTGTTCTATACTATTTGTTTGTATTGTTTTATGTTAATGGATTTTAAAGAAAATTTGAATTTTAAATACATTTTAGATATAAATATTGGTAATGTGAGATGTTGGATCGAACTCTAGTATAGTCGAAGAGTAACTTCTGATTCGGTATGAATTAAGCATGAGGTCGAAGTATGTTCGCATGCTGCTGTCGGAGTAATGCATGTTGTAGTTGAAGTTTGTTCTAACATGCATTAGTCAATATTGCTAGGGTTGTTAGCATGTTGAATTGGGTATTTCTCGTAAGCCCAATTGTTTAAGCTAGCTTGTATTTGTTGTGAATTGGATGTCTTGAAACAAAGTATAAATAAGTTTTTTAATGATTAAGAAATACACAAGGGTTAAGGTTAACAAAGAAGACAAGGTAAAACAACAAGGAACAACAATGATTGGTTATAAACTGTTATTTTTTCCTTTCTCTTAAAATAAGATTACAAGTATACAAGAATAACAATATTTATAAATAACACATCTCTTTCTTGAAATTAGGATTTTATCTTCCTATTTTTCCTTACGCCAAGATTGAGAAACTAACATCCTATTTATAAGAAAAATAACACACTAACCTAATGGGCTCTTTAACAATTACCCATTACAAGCTAACTTAAACAATTGGGTTTACAAGTAAGACCCAATTCAACATGCTAACAACCCTAACAATATTGACTAATGCATGTTAGAATAAACTTCGACTGCAACACGCATTACTCTGACAGCAACATGCAAACATACTTTGATCTCATGCTTAATTCCTGTCGAACCAGAAGCTACTCTTCGACCATACTAGAGTTCAATCCAACATCTCACAAATCTCCACCTTGGGTCTAACTCTATAACATCAAGAAACTACCTTTCTTCATGCAACTTTATCAACTGCATACAGTGGAAAAACTTGCAACTTGACAACGTCTTGGTGATCATATCAGCAACATGTGAATAGACTTCGATTGTTGCTTTACTATTTTCACCCAAGGCTCCACCATAAATTAGGACTCTATTCAGAGACCCATTATATGTACCATAGAATCCACTTCAATGCTTTCCATTGAGCCTTTCCAGGATTCGCCATGTACTTGCTTACAAGACTTACTGCATATGCTATGTCATGCCTAGTATAGACCATAACGTACATCAAAGAATCTACTATGTTAGTATATGAAATGCTATTCATATAAGTTCTTTCAACATCGGTGTTGGGACACTGATCTATACTTAGCTTGAATTAAAGGTTTGTCGGAGTCACAACAGACTTTGAATTCGACATACCAAACTTTTCGAGAATCTTCCGTAGGTATGCCTTTTGAGATAAGCATAATCTCGACTGCTTTCTATCTCTTCGGATGTCAATCTCAAGAATTCTGAACGCAGCTCCCAGATCCTTCATGTCGAACTCCTTATTGAGTTCAGTCTTCACCCTCATTACTTCTTCGACATTGTTACTTCCTATTAGAATATTGTTCTGGCCTGGGCCCGACCTCACCTCGTGGCTCAACCCAATGATATACAATAAAGGCCCAATATGGTTCAAGGGGGACGACCGAGCACGTGGCCCCTCGACGGGCAAGACATGCTCCCGTCGAGGAGAATAGCGTGCCCCAGGACGCCATATGCCCTCTCCCCTCCGCGGGGATGCGCTGCTAACCACTGTCCCTCGTCGGGCAGAACAACCCTCCGCGGGCAGAATCCTCATGCCAACGAGCAGGACAACATGTCTCCCCCACGCCCTCGTGTGCTCCCCTCCGCGGGGAGAACAACACACCTTCGGAGAACCTCATGAGCTCCCCTTCGCAGGGAGATCAACGTGCCATTCGCACGTTCTCCACGTGCTCCCCTCCGCGGGGACACGTCACCGACCAACTGCCCACCTCCGAAAGAGCAGGTCAAACCCACTTTCCGGAGATCACGGGACAATTGGACTAGAGCGAAGACCACGTCCTGGTCTTCACTACGCCACGTAAGCCCTAGTAGTCACATGGGTTGGGCTTGGCAATCCAGCCCAACACAAGTGACCGTTGGCCCAACGCTGGGGTCTCTCTATAAATACCCTCTTTCACAAGAGGGTCAGGTAATTCACTTCTTACCCCTTTTTCTGTGCTTGTGACCACTCTGCCCATATACTCACTTTGGCATCGGAGTGCCTTGCAGATACACCCCCCTCCTCATCATCATCACCGGTGAACAGGCAGCAGTCCAACAGAGTGTGGCCAGCCAGTGATCCTCTTCTGATCAGGTCAGATCAAATATCATCCATATAGAACAACAAAATAAAAAATAAATTACCCGGTCGAAATCTGAAGTAAACACAGTGGTCGAGCTGACTTCTGATGAAACTTATACGTGCCATGAACTTGTCGAATCTCCTATTCCACTTCCGAGAAGATTGTTTCAGTACATATAAGGATCTATTCAGCTTGCACACATAATCTTCCTTCTCTTTTTTGACATACCCTTCAGGTTGCCTCATTAGGATTGTTTCATCTAAGTCACCATACAAGAACGCAGTCTTCACATCCACCTGTTCTAGTTCAAGATCGAACTGTGCCACTGTGGCAAGCAATAGTTGGATGAGTCTGTGCTTCACAACAGGAGATAACACATCATTGAAGTTTATATCTTCTTTCTGAGTGAACCCCCTAGCAACCAATCTTGCCTTGTATCTCTTCGACGCCACTCTTTCGATTCCTTCCTTAACTTTGAAAATCCATTTACAACTGACTAACTTTTCTCCAGCAGGTTTCTTGATCAGTTTCTAGGTATTGTTATCATGAAGAGATTTCATCTCATCATCCATGGCCTTCAGCCATTCAGTATTCTTTCGAATCTTTATAACCTCCTTATAGTCTCTAGGTTCTTCGTCTAGAACCTCACTTGCAGAGATTAAGGCATAAGCTATAAGATCTGCATACCCAAGTCTCTGAGGTGGCTTGATGACTCTCCTCGACTTGTCTCTTGCTAGTGGGTAGTCATTATCAGTCTCTTCATCTTCGATAACATTTTCTGCGTTTTCTTCAACTTCATGCGGGGTATGCAATTCAGCATCAACATGCTCCACCTCAACAGGAATCTCTTCTTGTTCCAGCTCTTCGTCAGCATCATCAGTTTTCTTGAAGACCATCTCTGCTTCATTAAAAAATACATATTGACTGGTGATACACCTCCTGTGACCTAGCTCTAGGCACCATAGCCTATAAGCTTTGACTCCTTCAGGGTATCCCATGAACATGCATTTTAGAGCTCTAGATTCGACCTTGTCTTGCCTAATGTGAGCATAGGCCACACAACAAAATACTCTCAGTCTGTTGAGACTAGGTGGATGTCCCGACTAAACTTCTTCAGGCGTCTTCATTCCTAAGAAAGTCGATGGACATATATTTATCAAGTAAGCTGTTGTCGAAACAGCTTCCCCCTAAAACACCTTCTTCAATCTAGCACTAACCAACATGCATCTAACCCTTTCAAGGATTGTTCGATTAAATCTCTCATCTAAGCCATTTTGTTAAGGAGTACCTGCTACAATCTTATGCCTTGCAATTCCAGATTCAACACAGTAACTGTCGAACGCTTCGTTGTAGAATTCAAGACCATTGTCGGTTCTCAACCTCTTAACCTTTCTTCCAGTTTGAGTTTCGACCAGAATCTTCCAACTTTTGAAATTCTCAAAAGTTTCATCCTTCGTTTTCTGAATGAATTCCCATAGCTTTCTGGAATAGTCATCAACAATGGATAAAAAATACCTTGCACCTGAGTGTGAAGGATTCCTTGCAGGCCCCCAAAGATCAGCATGAATGTAATCCAAGGATCCATGTGTTCTTTGCTTACCTTTGTTAAACTTCTCCCTACAGGATTTACCAAATACACAAGATTCACAAAACTCTAACTTTTCGACTTTGTCACCTCCTAACAGGTTCTGCTTCCCCAATTCGACCAGACCTCTTTCGCTGACATAACCCAATCTCACGTGCCATAATTCTGTCTTCGACACATATTTCGTGGATGCAACATTTGTCGAACCACTTACAACCTTAGCCTCAAGGGTATACAAGCCTTGTTTCCTCACGTCTCTCAAGACTTCCTTCGACCCCTTCATGACTCTTAGGATACTTTTCTTTCCTTGAAAAACATATCCCTTTCTATCGAGTTCACCAAGATAAATCAAATTTCTCTTCAAGTCAGGTACCTACCTGACTTCAGTCAATAACCTTATTGACTCATCATGAAATTTGAATCTCAGAGATCCAATACCTGCAATTTTGTAAGATTTGTTGTTTTCCAGCAGCACATATCCACCATCTTGATCACATAGCTCCTTGAACAATTCTCTGTTTGAAGTCATGTGCCAAGTACAACCTGAATCCATAATCCACTCTTTTCTCGAGTCGCCACTTGAAACCACAAGAACACTAGATGAGTCGAAGTCATCTTGAACAATGTTTGCGTTGCCATTACCTCCCTGATCTTTCAGACGTTCAGTGCACACCTTTCTTGTGTGACCCTCATTCTTACCGTGATAACATCGAATACCAGATGTTTTGTCCCTATAAGACTTATGTTGATTTTTACCTTTCTTCTTGTCGAACTTACCATCCTTTCGCAAGAATTTTCCCTTAACGGCTAAACCTTCGCCCACCGTCGAAGGTTTATGCTCCTTTCGTTTGTTCAAGTCCTTAGAATACAAGGCCGATTAAACTTCTTCAAAGGT